TTTTCTTTCGTCATTAAGTTTTGAATTCTCACATAAAATATTGTTATCAGTTTACGCGTCATTTCTTGGAACAATTTTTTTAACGCTTTACTTTAGTTTATTTTTTTTTGTTATTCTACCTAAAAATTATGAGTAGTGGATTCGGGTCGATGAGGACAAAACATGACCAAACTGTCAAGCAAGGGGAAAGTTCACCAAACTAATTTTTTAATGACAGTAGTGTTCGCTGTCAAACCAATTGAGATAGAAATATATCTGTTATGGAAATTCTACTCGTTAAATTAAAAATATACGCCAGCTATCACTTATGTGCATTCAGCTTTCATCATGAATAATGATTTAACAAGGACTCATTTTTTTATTGCAGTGTTTCATGAGAGATTAGATATAGTTTTTATCCATACATCATCATTAAGGAGGTGGGCGGCGTTCTAAATGCTGTAAAATATTTGAAATGTCAACTTCATATCCAATATTTATCGATGGCGCTTTGCTCCTTTGTGACGAAGACTGGGGGGCCAATATCTAAAAAATGGTTGTAAACATTTGACTTACATTCAAAACCATTATGCTGGTTTTCAATTCAAAAACACCATTTCGCTGCATCGTTGGTAAAATCGGCATATGGAGTGTGCGCAATAACATGCAGCTAGTGGATATCAAAAGTTGGAATACCCTTTATTACATTGATTTCATACAAATAAATGTGTCAGCAACCAAAGCAACTCTCTACCTGGTCATCTTTCGGAGTCTGAGAAGTTGGCGTTGCAAATAGGCCATTTGAGAGAATACTAGTAGAATCACAGGATGGGCGAGACAGAAGGTGGTGGATAAGTATGTCCAAATCTCAATTGATCCGACCTTGAAATGTAATTTTTAAATTTAGCATAAATGAAGGCGCCTATAGAACCGAAATTAAATGGTGTAGTAATGTAAAAAATTTTCATTTTCGCCTCCCACATGCGTTTTTTGCAAGTAAATTTTGCATGAAGCTAAGAGAGCGGGAGTCACTACATGAGATATGTGCGTAGTAGTTTCAACGGACTAGCGCAAGATCACTTGTTTGACTGAATATGGAAGACGTTGCTTTGATAATTTCCTAAGATTGCTAAAATAATCCGTGGTTATGGATAGGAATAAGGATTCTTGAAATATAAATGGGTTCGTACGTAGAAGAAGAAGCGGTCGAAGTCTGGCGCTTGCACACCATTACCCAGTATCTGCCAGATACCAAAAAATGTGATGAAATTGAATATGACGATGCTCCAAGTTACGCGACGCAATGGAGCTAGAGCTCTGCGCACCTCCGACAAGGCAGGCTTTTTTTCGCTCAAACGCGGGGAAAAGCGTAGATCACTTTGTCTGCATCCGGGTCCGATTTGTACGCCAATGAGCAATCATGACAGAAGCGGCGTTTTATAATCATTTTTTACACCATGTCATAAAATACTTCGTACTCCTGCAAATGGAACCAAACAAATAGTTGACTTTGTTGACTTACCGAGTGAAGACCTCAGGCCACGGAATAAGAGGGTTGTCAATCTCCTGAACGCAGTTCCACACGCCAAGTGCTGCCTCCAGTGAGAGAGGTTTGGTGGTGATTAGGGTGATCAGCACAGGTAGCAGAAATCCACTTGCTAATGCAACTCCCAATCCTATTAGCTGGATATGCTTATTCTCTAAAAAAGGACATTTCTCCATTTGAAACATGCTAATTGTTTCCATGTTTAATTCATTTCGTAATTTCAGCGCTTATTAACCAAAGCAGTTGAATAAGAAATTGAGCCCAATGTGATAAAATTGGTCGTTGACATTGAAACCCGGTTTAGCAATGGCATAAAGCCTCCTGTGTGACTGGCATTGGTTTCCCATCAAACCACTGTTTGACTATAAAGAACTGCATTTATTTTCCCAAGAAATTAAGAAGTGCAGATTTGGTATAACCGTGAAGGTTTCACAACACACCCAATGAAGACTCTTTCTCAAGCACAAAACGGATGATGAGTGCGGCTCCAACGCTTGCGAAGTAGCCGACCAGAAGTCCGGCTTTGGAGAGACGAGCCCAGAGAATAGTGAGGCACAGACCACCCACAAAGGGTGTGCACAGATGGAAGCACAAGAAATTCGCCACCTAAAATTCACAATAGATAGATATGTGGATTCAGTATGCTATCCCAAATTCTGAGTTACAATTAGATAATATTCAAAATACAGTTGCAGCTTCTCGCTCCCCTTCTCTCGTGTTCCTTTATACTCACTTCAGTTCTATTTTTGTTTGGTCATCTCCTTTAAACTCAATGTAAAAATTTTCGTCCAAGAAAGTGTGTGCTTAGACGAACGAAGTGCATTATAAAGTAGCGTTTTCTTTGCTCGATTTTTTATCAATAACTCTAGAAATTTTGATA